ACACATACTTAGAAAAAACACACATTTATTTATTTATTTTTTAATATTTTCTCTACTAAAATCATGTACGTTCTTGAAACGCTGCTGTCGAATTGAGAGAGAGAAAACAAAACACAGCAGCAGCAACCAACATAAACAAATCCAAAAAATTGAAAATACTTACCATGACTTTACTTGCAATTTGCAACTTTTTGAATAAAACTACAACAACTCTAACAGGCAGCAACATCAACAGCAAACAGCTATAACAAAAACAAACAACCTAAGGCAACAACAGTAACAATAATAACAGCAACAATATATACATACTTTCAAGAGCTAGAAAAACATGCATTTAAATTGTTGCTCTAGTTGAGTGTTTCTCTATTGCAACATGCCTCCAGCTGAGTTTGTTTATTCGTCGAAAATGTTGGGCTAAAGACGAATTTGAAATTTTGCTATAAATCCTATATCAGTTTTGAGTCATTTCTAGTTTAGTTCTCCATCAATTGCAGAACAGTTCTCGATTAATTCTCGATCAGGTTTAGTTTAATTCTGAAAATGCTGTATAGTTTTCTTCTAGTTCTGTTCTAGTTCTGTTCTAGTTCTGTTCTAGTTCAGTTCTAGTTCTGTTCTAGTTCTGTTCTAGTTCTGTTCTAGTTCTGTTCTAGTTCTGTTCTAGTTCTGTTCTAGTTCTGTTCTTGTTCTGTTCTTGTTCTGTTCTAGTTCTGTTCTAGTTCTGTCTAGTCTGTTCTAGTTCTGTTCTAGTGCTGTTCTAGTTCTGTTTCTAGTTCTGTTCTAGTTCTGTTCTAGTTCTGTTCTAGTTCTGTTTCTAGTTCTGTTCTAGTTCTGTTCTAGTTCTGTTCTAGTTCTGTTCTAGTCTGTTCTAGTTCTGTTCTAGTTCTGTTCTGTTCTGTTTCTATTCTGTTCTAGTTCTGTTCTAGTTCTGTTCTAGTTCTGTTCTAGTTCTTTCTGTTTCGGTTCTAGTTCTGTTCTAGTTCTGTTCTAGTTCTGTTCTAGTTCTGTTCTAGTTCTGTTCTAGTTCTGTTCTAGTTCTGTTCTAGTTCTTTCTAGTTCTGTTCTAGTTTCTGTTCTAGTTTTGTTCTAGTTCTGTTCTAGTTCTGTTCTAGTTCTGTTCTAGGTTCTGTTCTAGTTCTGTTCTAGTTCTGTTCTAGTTCTGTCTATTCTTTCTATGTTTCTGTTCTAGTTACTGTTCTTGTTCTAGTTCTGTTCTAGGTTCTAGTTCTGTTCTAGTTCTGTTTCTAGTTCTGTTCTAGTTCTGTTCTAGTTCTGTTCTAGGTTCTGTTCTAGTTCTGTTCTAGTTCTGTTCTAGTTCTGTTCTAGTTCTGTTCTAGTTCTGTTCTAGTTCTGTTAGTTCTGTTCTGTTCTAGTCTATTCTAGTTCTATTCTAGTTCTGTTCTAGTATGTTCTAGTTCTGTTCTAGTTCTGTTCTAGTTCTGTTCTAGTTCTGTTCTAGTTCTGTTCTAGTTCTGTTATAGTTCTGTTCTAGTTCTGTTCTAGTTCTGTTATAGTTCTAGATCTGTTCTAGTTCTGTTCTAGTTCTGTTCTAGTTCTGTTCTAGTTCGTTCTAGTTCTGTTTCTAGTTCTGTTCTAGTTCTGTTCTAGTTCTGTTCTAGTTCTGTTCTAGTTCTGTTCTAGTTCTGTTCTAGTTCTGTCTAGTTCTGTTCTAGTTCTGTTCTAGTTCTGTTCTAGTTCTGTTCTATTCTGTTCTAGTTCTGTTCTAGTTTCTGTTCTAGTTCTGTTCTAGTTCTGTTCTAGTTCTGTTCTAGTTCTGTTCTAGTTCTGTTCTAGTTCTGTTCTAGTTCTGTTCTGTTCTAGTTCTGTTCTAGTTCTGTTCTAGTTCTGTTCTAGTTCTGTTCTAGTTCTGTTCTAGTTCTGTTCTAGTTCTGTTCTAGTTCTGTTCTAGTTCTGTTCTAGTTCTGTCTAGTTCTGTTCTAGTTCTGTTCTAGTTCTGTTCTAGTTCTGTTCTAGTTCTGTTCTAGTTCTGTTCTAGTTCTGTTCTAGTTCTGTTCTAGTTTGTCTTCTATTCTGTTCTAGTTCTGTTCTAGTTCTGTTCTAGTTCTGTTCTAGTTCTGTTCTAGTTCTGTTCTAGTTCTGTTCTAGTTCTGTTCTAGTTCTGTTCTAGTTCTGTTCTGTTCTGTTCTAGTTCTGTTCTAGTTCTGTTCTAGTTCTGTTCTAGTTCTGTTCTAGTTCTGTTCTAGTTCTGTTCTAGTTCTTCTAGTTCTGTTCTAGTTCTGTTCTAGTTCTGTTCTAGTTCTGTTCTAGTTCTATTCTAGTTCTGTTCTAGTTGTTCTAGTTATGTTCTAGTTCTGTTGTAGTTCAGTTCTAGTTCTGTTCTGGTGCTGATCTAGTTCTTTTCGAGTTAAAATTTTCTTAAAAATCTCAAGACATTGGCTTATTTATATAAGCCTTCTTGCGAAACTAGCACACACACACAATTAATAAAATAAAAAATAATTTCCTTATACAACAATTTACTTAGAATTTTATACCATTTTATTTTGTAAAATAAAACGACATAAAGAAGACAAAGAAAAAACTCGGAAAAGAAGTGCGCGCAAAAAAAGACGTTGCAAAAAAACCAACAGAAGGTTTAAGCTTTTACGTTTTAATCCGATTTAGTAACATTTTCACTGTTAAACCTACAATTTTTCATTCCACTTCATGGTGCGTCGTATATTTTTTCCTTTAGACCCCTTTAAAGACTCTAGTGACTCAGAGTGTTTGTGTTCGGATGTAATCCAAGCCATAGTCTAGGCTGGATGTTTGGCTGACATTTTGCAGCTAAAGATGTTGCTACAAAATAAGACACCAGCAGTTACACATAATAAAGTAGAGTAGCGCGGGAAAAAAGAGTCAAGAACAAAAAAATAGTGGAAAAGTATTACATTGTAACTGAAACCCATCTTATCAGCTAAGTAAAGAAATAAAAAGAATCTTTAAAAAATACAAGAAGCAACAAAAAAATCTCTACATATAAAAAGAAAAATCCTGCCAGTTTTACTTAAATGAAACCACATGACTGGAAAATCATGCTAATTTTCAGAGAAAACAAAGTAACAAAATAATAAGAAGAAAAATAATAAAAAATATACATTTTTTATGTTTTTCTTGCTTTTTTCTTTCACATTTTTTGCGAATTATTTGTTCTTTGTTAAAGAAAAGAAAAACAAACTGACGAAAAAAACAACATACAATCAGAAAAGAAATCTGAAGTTACAATTTATAATTTAAATTTATTTTATTTTGGAAAAGCAAATTACTATGTATGGAAAATAAGTCATTAAAACTTATAATAACTGAATGAGATTGGGAAACATATAGTTAAAGGTTCAGTTCCAGGTCAATTCTAGTTTAGTTCTAAGTTAAGTTCTAGTTCGGTTCTAGTTCAGTTCTAGTTCAGTTCTAGTTCAGTTCTAGTTCAGTTCTAGTTCAGTTCTAGTTCTAGTTCAGTTCTACTTCAGTTCTAGTTCAATTCTAGTTCTAGTTCAATTCTAGTTCTAGTTCAGTTCTAGTTCAGTTCTAGTTCAGTTCTAGTTCAGTTCTAGTTCAGTTCTAGTTCAGTTCTAGTTCAGTTCTAGATCAGTTCTAGTTCAGTTCTAGTTCAGTTCTAGTTCAGTTCTAGTTCAGTTCTAGTTCGTTCTAGTCTCTAGTTCAGTTCTAGTTCAGTTCTAGTTCAGTTCTAGTTCAGTTCTAGTTCAGTTCTAGTTCAGTTCTAGTTCAGTTCTAGTTCAGTTCTAGTAGTTCTAGTTCAGTTCTAGTTCAGTTCTAGTTCAGTTCTAGTTCAGTTCTAGTTCAGTTCTAGTTCAGTTCTAGTTCAGTTCTAGTTCAGTTCTAGTTCAGTTCTAGTTCAGTTCTAGTTCAGTTCTAGTTCAGTTCTAGTTCAGTTCTAGTTCAGTTCTAGTTCAGTTCTAGTTCAGTTCTAGTCGTTCAGTTCAGTAGTTCAGTTCTAGTTCAGTTCTAGTTCAGTTCTAGTTCAGTTCTAGTTCAGTTCTAGTTCAGTTTAGTTAGTAGTTCAGTTCTAGTTCAGTTCTAGTTCAGTTTTAGTTCAGTTCTAGTTCAGTTTCTAATTCAGTTCTAATTCAGTTCTAGTTCAGTTCTAGTTCAGTTCTAGTTCAGTTCTAGTTCAGTTCTAGTTCAGTTCTAGTTCAGTTCTAGTTCAGTTCTAGTTCAGTTCTAGTTCAGTTCTAGTTCAGTTCTAGTTCAGTTCTAGTTCAGTTCTAGTTCAGTTCTAGTTTCAGTTCTAGTCAGTTCTAGTTCAGTTCTAGTTCAGTTCTAGTTCAGTTCTAGTTCAGTTCTAGTTCAGTTCTAGTTCAGTTCTAGTTCAGTTCTAGTTCAGTTCTAGTTCTAGTTCAGTTCTAGTTCAGTTCTAGTTCAGTTCTAGTTCAGTTCTAGTTCAGTTCTAGTTCAGTTCTAGTTCAGTTCTAGTTCAGTTCTAGTTCAGTTCTAGTTCAGTTCTAGTTCAGTTATCAGTTCTAGTTCAGTTCTAGTTCAGTTCTAGTTCAGTTCTAGTTCAGTTCTAGTTCAGTTCTAGTTCAGTTTCTAGTTCAGTTCTAGTTCAGTTCTAGTTCAGTTCTAGTTCTAGTTCAGTTCTAGTTCAGTTCTAGTTCAGTTCTAGTTCAGTTCTAGTTCAGTTCTAGTTCAGTTTCTAGTTCAGTTCTAGTTCAGTTCTAGTTCTAGTTCAGTTCTAGTTCAGTTCTAGTTCAGTTCTAGTTCAGTTCTAGTTCAGTTCTAGTTCAGTTCTAGTTCTAGTTCAGTTCTAGTTTAGTTCTAGTTCAGTTCTAGTTCAGTTCTAGTTCAGTTCTAGTCCAGTTCTAGTCCAGTTCTAGTCCAGTTCTAGTCCAGTTCTAGTTCAGTTCTAGTTCAGTTCTAGTTTAGTTCGTAGAGCAGAAATAAATAAATTTAGCATTTAAATAATTTAAAAATTAGACATTTTAACCAAAATTAAGTAAATTTATTGGAAAACTCTTTTTTAAATAAAAATTTCTTTATTTTTTTAGATTTTCGCCAAACATTTGTATCTACATTTGGAAAACTTAACGAAGTAAGTTATAATTTAAATTTCCTTTATATATATAAAATCTTTGTTGTTTTCCTTTCTTGCCTTTGGTTTTTCCTAATTTATTGTGGTAAATCAATACCAATTATTTGCATTTATTTTAATTCAATACTTTTTTATACAAATTTTATACAATTGCCTTTAATTTCTCAATTCAATAGCTTTCAAAACAAGCAATTTAAAATAGCACACGCACATGCCAAATAATTTGCAAATAAAAAAATCTACCTACAAGTATGCTTTACTTTTAATTTAAATATAA